CCCCTGCGCGTGCACCGCGGTCCCCCCGCGTCCCTGGGCTCCTCTGCAGTGCCCCTCGGCCCCCTCAGTGCAGCTTTCCTAGCAGATTAGGATATCGGTTTTTGTTGGACTTGAAATTGGGAGTTGAGGGCGGCCTGGAGGCGCGCGGGAAGGAGATTTGGGGTGCGGCTGCTCTATAAAGATGTTGCCTTTCACCCCAGCAGCCCCCCACCCCCTACGCGGGGTCGTGGCAGAAAACCGAGTCCTGAGTTTTCCTTCTTTTTCTTCCTCGACACCACTTCCCCACCAGTGTGGTTCTGTTTATCCTCCTCGCCCTGGGGCTGGGTCCCTGGCGAAGCCTCCTTTTCACCCACCCACCCCCAAGCCAGAGCTCACCAGTGATGTAATGCGGGACCCGCGCGGGGAGGGGAAGCGGCAGCCTGAACGGCCTGGCAGCGGCGGTTCCTTCTCTTCGTGAAAATCGTGATCTCATCTCTCAGTCCAAGGGCGAAAAACAGCCATCACCAGGCCATTCACGCTTTGTGCTTTTGTTAGCAGAGCCCAGGCAGCCCTGCAGCCCACATCTAGGGTGCAAAGGGAGCGGCGGCGTTTTCCTTTTATCATTTAGAGGAAATTTTTGAGCTGAACAGTATTTTTTTTTCTCCCTCTCTCTCTCTCAGAAATATTGCTGAAATTTAAAGGAGGACGAAGACACAGATTCACAGCTGGCTCTTGCTGTTTTCCTGACGCTGACCACAGCGGATCGAGGTAGCTATTTCGTTGGTGCACAGGCGTTCACAGAGGCAGAGAGGGGAGAAAGTTGTCAAACAGGTTCACAGACTGTCAAAGTGCGGCTTAAACCGAGTTCCTGGGCTCCCCTCACTGGCTTTGTCCACTTAAACTTTTAACAGACACATGTAGAGAGCTGAAACTCCAGCGGTAACATGGGACAGGTCTTCTTGATTTAATGAAAACAGAAGATCAGTTGGACCCGGTAGCAAGAACGAGGGCTTGTTTAAAAAGCACTGAGTAGGTGACAGGAGTGGTGATGGGTGCCTGTCATCCCAGCTGCTTGGGAAACTGAGGCAGGAAAATCCCTTGAACTTGGGAGGCAGAGGTTGCAGTGAGCTAAGATCACACCACTGCACTCCAGCCTGGGCAACAGAGAGAGATTCTGTCTCAAAAAATATATA